CAAGCGCTCTCGTTCTACTGGAGATACCAATCGCTTCGCAGGGGGTTTAACCTGAACCATCTCCGATTTCTTCTTCCTCAAGTGCTTTCGAACGGCTGCAATTTTTCGGGTTTTTTCGACACCCATGCGATTGCGAGGCTCTGTCTGTATAAGTGCCAGCTCGGAAAAGTACCGTTCGCAAGTAGCAGTATTGACGGTTACAGAGAGGACAGCCAATGCGAGCTTGGGGAGGCAATGGCGGGGGTACTTTTGCTTCCAGTGACGCCAAAATGCAGCTACGTTGGGCAACGAAGATGTTTCGAAGTCTTCCAACTTTTTTGGAGAGTTTCTCATGTACGTCCCGCTAAGCCAGTCGTCCAACTCACCAGTGATCGTTCCTGGATCACCACCAACCAGGCGCTTGTAGTAATGCTCAGCAATCTCACCAATGCTTTCATAACCAGATATCTTTGTGGCCTTCAACTTCGACGCATCCTGGTAGTACGCTGGGTGTAAATACAACGCAAGCATGAACAGAGGATGCTCACAGGCAGCCCATCTGACTTCAACTAGATCTGAAAGACCATCGTAACCTGAGAGTTCACGGTACTTGTCAAACAAATCCCGGAAAACGATAACGACGTCTGCAAGCGTGTTTTCGTCACTTTGCAGCTTAAATGAAGCAAAGCAAATCGGGTTAATCACACGCTCTGCATCTTTAAGTGATTTCCAAAACGTTTCATCTGCTAGTACTTTCAGGATGGGTTTGAACTCACGATCGTCCCAGTATTTAGCAGCAAACATCCGCATTGCTGTCTTGACGCGTAACAGAGATGCAAAGCAACCCTGCATCGAGTTCCACCGGGTTACGCAAAACGTCTTAAACTGCCACTTGGACCCATACACCTCCTCCATAATTTGTTGTACTAGTGGCAGCCATTTCTCAGAAGACCCATTCAAAAAATTGACGACATCATGTGCTTGTTTTGAAACCTTTCGAAAACATTCAAGACTAAGAATTTTTTTCACCAGGTTATTCAAGTCATGGGCGAAGCACTTCAGGAAAACAACTTTTGGCCATCGAAGGGCAAGAATCCTTCGAGCGCGACCACAATTACCTGCATCATCTGTGATGACACCGCCTATTTCCCACCCATCTTCTTCAGCATCTTCCATTATTTTTTCCATTCGTGATGCCAACGCTAGACCATCGAGACGCTGCGTTTCAGTTGAAAAAAGTCCCAATGTAGTGAAGGAACCGAAAAGTCCTATGTGAGCGCCTAACAGATGCCGCTTCCCGACGTCTTGCCAACCATCACTGAGAAAGTTTGCTCGCCCTCCTGACTTGAGCTGCAAACCTTTCACTTCATCAGATTCGCCCTTTATTAGCTGGTCTGCATGCGTATTCAGTAGCTGTCCGCCAAGCGTACGTCGTGATGGAATATGCTCGACTAGACGAGGTTCTAGTCGTTCAATAAGTCGAACAGTGGAGTCCTTACCAATGAAGGAGTCCGCCAAACAGTTTTCAGCTTGAAACTCCACCAACAATTGCAAAAAACCGTCGATGTCTTCCTTGGAAAGAGGTGCAGCATGCTCCGTTTGAACTGACACACGAGGATTCACAGATTGAACTCCAAAAGATCGATCAGCTTGGGTCTGGAAGCGAGGACACACAGATTGAGTCCCTAAAATCTCTTCTGACTGTCGAGCCATACGAGCCTCTGGAGTATGGGGGCAGATCTCAAGGTGCTTCTTCAGCGCAGACACAGCTCCATGAACCTTCTTTATAATGATGGAATTCGCTGCCTCTGTGCTCACTTTTTCCAGTTGTTTTTTTGCTGCTATGCAGTGGAGGCAGAAATGATAGAAGTCACCGTGATCGTTGCATGGTTCTTTCGTGCACTCAAATTGTTTGCGCACGAGGTGAGGCCTTCTCCCCATTGAGACGCCTGGAGATCTGGAGGAACTTGAGGGAATCCAGGAATGAAGTCGTCGCGATCTTCCAGAGATTCTCACTGTGATGGGCTTTGAAGTTGACGTTGGTACTGGACATCACCAAATAGAGCGCTCACATGCCAAAATTTCCCCATATTAAATCGAAGAAGTTTAAACTCGTACTTATCTGCATAAAAAATAAAAATATTTTTATCGTTTTTTTATTTCCGAAAAAAATAAAAATATTTTTATTGCCAACACTGGTTGGATGGCATTCAGACGAAAAAAACCCATTAAAAATTTAATGGTTTTTTTTCGTCTGAATGCCATCCTGGCCAATCAGCATGCGTCACGACAAGTTTTTGGAACTATGTGTTATAAGGCTGCCCGCCCCCGCGCGGGCCAATCAGCGCATGCGTTACGCGACGAGTATATATATTATCATTTTTAAACTGATATTGACAATATCCTGAAATTATTGCGGACCTTAATAGCAAATAGCAAGTTTGTTTTCGAGAGTTTTAAAATTAAAATAGGAATTTTCTGTTTAATTCAACATTTAAAATAATTGATTTGCAAAGTTGAAAATAGATGTTTGCCTAATATTTTTAGATTTTTAATATTCATCATTCATTTTTTAAATTTGGCAGCACAATGAATTAGTTATATTAAAATTTAGCTGTTTGGTTAAATTTTAAATGTACAAAGTTGGTAATAATATCATGTATAATACCATATCTTATTTTGAGTTGTTGCCAATAATTTCACTGCTCATCATCATAAAATTTTGAAATAATTGTTTAAGTGACAAGAATGAGGTATGCGGGCTCTCGTTAAGCAACTTCAAATAAGCAACTTCCCCGATAAATGACGGCAA